CGCGCACGGTATGAACGTGTGAAAGCATTCGTTGCGTGTGTTCTTTGGTTGTCGGAATATACGCAACAGGCCGCCCGCGTGCTTTTCTTTGCGCGCTTTTAAACGCCAAGTGCGGAACCCTGTTCAAAACAACATGCGTTCGGGACGCTCGGTGTGTAGATTTTTTGTGTGACCTGCTCAATTTGGAAGATTCCAGCATGCGCGCGCGACGTAGGGCGCGCGTGCATTTCTTCAGATTTGCCGCGAAGGTTTCTTGCGAACGGATGGCTGTTGAAGAACAGGTGCGCGCTTACTGAGAGGGGCGTCGATACCGGCCTGTCTTGGATGGCATGAGTTCAATGTTTGAATGGGCGCTGGGCCAGAAGCGCATGCAAATTTCGCATCCCCAGAGAGGGTGACCCCAGCCCCGTGGGGAGTAGATCCTAGACCTTTTGTTGACCAGAGTTTTTATCGTGTACGCCCTATGTTGCCCCATGCATGCAGTGAAACCTATGTGCTGCGCAACGCGTGCGGTGCAATCGGCGTGGCGCAATATTTTTCTTGCAATCTATGCGGTGCAATCTATTTTGGCTTCCTCGCGCGCGGCCGCCCCCCCATGTTCGCGCGGGCGCCCCGCTCGCCCATCGCGCAACTACGTTTGCAAAACCCATGCGTCGGCGATTGCGACGGCTACTTGGCGCTGGAGGATACATCGCTTCAGCCGCGCGAGCGCGCGCGGGCTCGCGTTCAGAGCGGCCAGCTGGTCCCGCCGTGGCGCTGACTGCTGGGGCCTCCCCAGCGCGTCTCGCAGACCGCGCTGAAGCGCGGGCGCTTCCGTGCGAGTCGGCGGCTCTGGCGGGCGTGGTATCGTGGCGTTGTCGACAGCGGCGGACCCGAGGATGACAGCGGCGATGCCGGCGCCGACGATCACGATGACAATGGAAAGGCCAATGATGTGCCGATGTTCAACATGCGCCCGCGGCCGACGGGCGCGAGTGAACCGCGTGGCATTACTTGTCAGGGGTTGTGCCCCCCCTTCATCGCGCGCGCAAGGGCGTTCGAGTGATTCGGATGTGCGCGCGCGAGAGGCCCGGCTGTGCGCATTGCGTTAACCAGTGGAACATTTGTTTCATGTTTTTTTGGTTATCGGAATAGAAATTTTGCAACAGGCCGCTCGTTTTTTTTTTTTTTTTTTTTTTTTTTTTTTTTTTTTTTTTTTTTTTTTTTTTTTTTTTTTTTTTTTTTTTTTTTTTTTTTTTTTTTTTTTTCCGAGGTGGGGGCCCGAGTGTTCTGGAAGTTTCCGGCGTGCGCGCGCGACGAAGCGCGCGTCTGCGTTCCTTCAGATGTGCCGCAAGAGTTCTGTGCAAATGGATGGTTCTTGAAAAGTATGTGCGCGCGCGTAGTATTATTTGACGCGGGTGAGAGGGGCGTCGATATTGGCCTGGCTTGGATGGTATGCATTCAAAACATGAGTGAACTTCGGGGCAGAGTCGCATGCAAATTTCTCTTCCCAGAGAGGATCACCTCAGCCCCGCGGGGAGAAAATCCTGATTCTTTTGTTGGCCAGAGTTTCAATCGCGTGCGCCGCGTTGTCCGATGCACGCAGTGAAACTTATGTGGTGCGCAGCGCATGTGGTGTGCTAGACTTGCGGTGCAACCTATGCGGTACCATCCACTCTGCTGAACTTGATGGCGCCATCTCCAATGCTCGCGCACAGACCCCGCCCTCCCACCCACAACTTGTTTGGAAAAACTCATGATGCGGGGGGCGGCGGGGCCGCCGATGACGACGTCGATGACGACGTCCTCACTGCCGATGCTCGTCGCCGTGAGTCGATGGTGAAGGTGATCACATCGACGATGCTCGGACGTCCGTGATGACGAGATGACGTCGGCAGCGTCTGCGACAATGGCGAAGATGGCACCATCGACGACGATGTTCAAGAGGGCGACGGCACGAACGATAACGGCGCCAATGGTGGCACGCGCGTTGACGATGTTGATGTCCATCTGTCGATGAGGCAGGTGATCGCGGCGATGCGGACAAGGTTGAAAAGGAAATTCGGGCGCGCGGGGGTCCGACTAATCCCTCGGACTGATCCTGCGTGCGCGGCGTTGCGCGCAGGTGGCCTTTCCTTCTTTTTTTCTTTATGTATGTATATATATATATATATATATATATATATATATATATATATATATAATGCAAAAACACTTGTGAAGATTTTAGCATGGGCGCGCGGCTGGGAAATGTGTCGAATTTGTTGCGTACCCTTGGGCTTCTAGATCTTAATGCCGAAATGATAGCGTAAGCATAATGTTTGGTGCGATATTGACCTGGGCGCGCGCGAAGACTTTGCTGTATTTTTTTGGGGCAAGGGAGCATTGGCATTTATTTTCTTGGGTTGAAGAAGTGCGCGCGCAAAGAATGATGTGACAGGGGTGGCGGGGTGGGGGTGGGGTGGGTGGGCGATGCCGGCTTGGCTGGGATAGTGCGAATTCATATTTAGAGCGGCCGAGTGTGCAGAGTTAATATGGATTTGCAATGCCCCAGTGGGGGCCGTTAGCCCCGGGGGGGCGGGGGGGGGTAGAGTGTTTTCTTGTTCTAGAAAGGAGAATCGATGTTGCGCTCCTCGCGCGCGGCCGCCTCCCGCGCTCGCGCGGGCGCCCCGCTCGCCCATCGCGCAACTACCTGTGCAAACCCATGCGTCGGCGATTGCGACGGCTACTTGGCGTTGGCTGGCGCGTTGCTTCGGCCGCGCGAGCGCGCGCGGGCTCGCGTTCAGAGCGGCCCGCTAGTCTGGCGCGGCCGACGCGGCCGGGGCGGCGCCGACCGCTGGGAACTCCCCAGCGCGCCTCACGGACCGCGCTGATGCTCGGGGGCATCAATGCGAATGGCTGGGTCGGGAGGGCGCGGTCTCATGGAGACGTCGGCGCCAGCAGACGCGATGATGATAGCAGCGATGCTGGAAACGGCGATGGCGATGACGATGGCGAGGCAAATGGCGACGATGTTGCCCACGCGTCGGCGATGAAGGTTCTGACGAGATTTCGACGCGCGCGCGGCCCAGGGGCGCGATGGGTCTTGCGCGGTTTTACATGGCCGAGGTCGTGCCCCCCCCTTACCACAAACGCAAAATGCGTTCGAAGGATTCCGATTTTCGCGCGCGAAAGGCCCGTTTTGTCGCGCATGATGAAAACATGGAAACACTTGTGTTCGTCTCAAGAATTCGCACGAACGCGAACGCAGGCTTAAAACGCACACCGTTTCCGAAACCATGTGTTTTCTTAGTTGTTTTCGGGGCGGTCGAGTTTGACATCCCTGCGGCGCCCCGAGGTTTTGGAAGGAATTCGACATGCGCGCGCGACGACGCGCGACGTCGCACGCGCGCAGTTCGTCAGTGGTTTGTTTGGCTGCAAGGGTTTCTTGCGACAGCGCGCGCGCAAGGGCAGGGCGTTCGAATAATTTCCGGATGCGCGCGCGAGAGGCTCGATTGGTCGCGCTCGCGCGTGATGACCGTTTTGAGAACAATGTTCTTATGTAAGAATTGGCCTGTCGAAGGGCCCAACCATACGCAGTTGTGAATACCGCAATTTGGGGAATCACTTCGGGTGGGGCTCCCTATGGGCCACGAAACACTGTGCTGGGTGGGGGAGACGCATGCGGACTCTCTTCGGGGCCTCTTGGGAACCTCTTGGGGCCTCTTGGGGCCTCCTGGAAGACCCTCGGGACCGAGGGCTCGAAATGTTCGTCCAGGTTCCTCATCGGCCGTCGTGGGACGATGCTGGGGGCGTTGTGAGCCGTTGTGGACCGCTGGAAAGCCAAAAAGGCGAGAAGGCCAAACACCATCATAAACCTAGGAGAATCAATGATTGTTGCCTCTTGGGGCCTTCGTGAGGCGCCTCCTGGAACACTCTTTGGACGTCTTCGGGGCCTTTTCGGATGTGTTGAGATGTCGGGCGCAGTGCAGCACTCTTGGGCCTTCTCGGAGGTTTTTTCGGCCCTCTTGGGCGCTTTTTGGGCTCATGTTCTGTCGGCTGCGCTACCGGAGGATGCGCGCGACACGCACGGGGAATCCCAGGGGATCCCCGGAAATCCCCGCAAATCTGTTGGTTCCCGAAGAACCATTGTGAAACCAGTGGCCTGGGCCTGCTTTCCCCGCTGTCCTCGATACTATCACAACGATCGCAAACAGCGTTAAGCCGCTTAGCATTTGAGCAGTAGACCAGTGTAATTGTGTACATTTCACGGTCGACGGTCGCCGTGAGTCTGGCGTGCTTCACGCCCTGCGCCCAGTTTATTAGACCCTACAACTCTGAACTGCTCAGGGCTGCATGAGCCTTCGGGCACTCCACTACGTGCTGCAGGCACGGTGGCGGTTCTTCAGAGGCATTTGCTCGGGAATCTTGTACGGAGTCAGTGAGAAGATCTGACCATGCAGAGTCGAGCACAACGTGTACTGAGACGGCGGCTATCCCATGAGGGACTCGAGCTGAGGCAGAAAGCAAGAACTGGTCGACATTGGTGCAGTGATCCTGCTACCGAAAGCTGGGCCATGGACCCCCTCCCGACACCCTTTCCCGAGTGCGCGGAGCGCTCCGTGAGGGGCGTCCCAGGCCCGCCAGGGGTGTGGGGAGGGGGGTCCAGCGTCGACCCGAGAAATCCGCGCGGAACTCTGAAAGTTTATGCTGACGCTTTCTCTATTTCTTCGAATCAGGCAGGCCCTCTGGAACGCCCTCAGGGCGTCCTGGATCGCTCTGAAGCTGCTGCGGTGCCCGACGCATCCTCCAGACCCGCCAGATCCTCTGACATCTGCCGATACATTTTTTCAATCCGTGGCCCCAGAATTCCAGATCTTTTGTCCCGGAACATTCTGATGGCCCTCGGGCCAGTCAACGGCCTCCGTTGGCCGAAATCTAAGAAAAACGCCCAGCATGAACAACTCATATCGTCGGAGCTCTTGGTCTCAGAGATGTCCGATTCCTGTTCATCCAGATTCATCTTCATCCGGCCCTTGTCTCAAGGAGCAGTCCACGCTGGACGACCTGCGCCAGGAGCTCCAGGCCGTGGAGGACAGGCAGAGCGCGCTGAAGCAGCAGATGGGCGGCGCGCTGGAGGGACAGCAGCGGCACGCAGACCTGGAGAAGCAGGCGGCCGGTCCGGGCAAGGGGTCAGCGTTTGAGGTTCGAGGTTTGGGGGGTTTTCGTTGGTTTCCTTTGGTTTGCCAGCCTCGGGATGCGTTCCAGCGGCTGCACCTCGCCGAGGGCGTTCTGGGGTTGCCACGATCGTTCCGAACAGCTGCCAGAGACTTGAGGTATGGCTTGAAAGCCAAGTGGCAACTCCAGGGCGGGCCCCCAAGCGCTCATTCATCGCTGACGGGGGGGGGGCATGATAGCCCCGCCCGGGAACCCGCGGTTTTGCAATCGGGCGCCTGTCGAATCGGCGATGTATCGCCGATGCAAGCTCGATGTTCCCCTCACCCATGCCCGCTCCTCCCCGCCCTCCCTATGTCCGTCCCTTTCCTGCCCCTGGCCCTGCTACAGCAGCAGGGTCTCCAGCGTGCGCACCACCCCCTTGTAAGCTCGAATTGCAAGGCCATCATGTTCACCAGATGCTCTCCCGATGCACTTGAAGCCGACTCATTTAGCTTAGAGGGCTGGTCTTTCTTACCAGCCAGAAGCTTGCTACCAGGTCTTAGCGGCCAGCTCAGCATGACTGGGGAACTTCTCATCCAGGATGCCTTTGCTCCTTGCCAGGGGTTCGATCGACTTCTCGATGGGCCTCTTGATTTCCGATCATGCAGCTTGTTGATCATACCTTCCCTGGCGTGCTCCATCTCCGTTGCGTTGAGCTCCTCAACCTCAAAATCATCGCCATCATCGATGCGAGTCGCTAGTCACGTTGTTGGCCGCCATACCTCTTGAAGGGGTATTGGGGGGCCCATGATCAGGTCCCTCTGTTTCCAAAGCTGTCATTTTTGTTCCTCATGCCAGCTGTGCCTGCCCTCCCCACCCCTGCTCGGTACGAATATGCCTCCAGTTTCTTTCCACTGCTTCCAGGATTCCCTCAAGGAACGTGCTCCTTTTCAGGGGTAAGTTCGTCTGCTCTTGGAATATCCAGCTGCCTGCGGCAAACCCAGCCACCGCGCCTATGCAACAACGCAGCAGGCAGGAGGCTGAGTGCAGGAACGGCGCAATTCCGTAGTTTGCATTTGTGGGGGTCGTGATTTCGACATCGTTTTCGTTTGGGCGGTAGGGAGGGGGAGGAGGAGGAGGAGGAGGAGGAGGAGGATGAGGAGGAGGAAAAGGAGGAGGAGGAGGAGGAGAGGAGGAGGAGGACGGAGGAGGAGGAGGAGGAGGAGGAGGAGGGAGGAGAGGAGGAGAGGAGGAGGAGGACGAGAGAGGAGAGGATGATGAGGAGGATGAGGAGGAGGAATAATAATAATAGTAGTAAGAACAAAAGGAGGAGGAGGAATAGGAGGAGGAGGAGGAGGAGGAGGAGGAGGAGGAGGAGGAGGAGGAGGAGGAGGAGGCGCTGGGGGACTCTATGGCCCAGGTGGGCGACGAAGGACTGGCAGCAACGCAGCACGCACTGGCTACGGCCCCCCTTGCTGCGGCTGCCCGCCTGGTCGCCGACCTCGCGGCAGGAGATCGCCCGCCCGCGGCGGCCGCCCTGCGCTCAGCGGGAAGGCCCAGGGCAAGCGGCTGGCTGCAGGCCCCCACGAAGGCGTGCCTTGGCTTGAGCAACGCGCAGTTCGGCATCGCAATGGGAGTTCGCCTGAACCTCGATCTGCCGGCCTGCATGTAAATCTTGAGGACCCTGCTTCACTCACGATCCATCTGTGTAAATAGTGTCTGCCTCAGAGATGGGGTACTGTCTCGGGTCCAAACGACATTTTGCTCCCGGCCGAGGTCCTCGGGGGCTCCCGTGGACCGCCCTAAACCTTCCAACAAACCAGCTTGGAGCGGAACTTTTCATTGGTCCTTGAGGACCTGAGCATCACCTTTCACAAATTATTAATCTCTGAGGGGGGGTAGTTAGTTACTGGGCAACTCACAAGTATATGACGTAAATCGCCAGGCGGATGTCCACACTGGCAAACCGTTTCCGTGGGGCATCCAGCTTTTCTCACACAAGCAAGGGTCCAAATGCACTGGGCCAGGACAGCCAGGAGAGTGATTTCTCATATTCCTTGAATCCTACTTCTTTTAGAACTTGGCTAGCCGTGGACGTGTCGAGCGCTTCCTGCCAACTGAGTTTCTTGTCGGCTAGCGCGCGCAACTGGTGGCCCCAGGCCTGCTTCATCTAGGCTCGGAGCAGCGAGGGAAAGGTCGGGTCAAACTATGAGTCGTTAGATCCTGATCAATCAGCTTGAAGGGGCCTGAAATCTCTATCCCACACGCCGTGCACGTGAAATAGCTCCTCCAACATGTCCACGACATTCGCTCCACGTTCGAGGTGTGTTCTACGGGGGTGCTGCTGCCAAAGAGCGGAGCTGAGGCAAACTGTGGCCTGGCGAGTGATGTCCTGTCGTCGCGCGCCAGACCAGCACCGACCAAAAGATGATAGGGCCTACTCAAGGCCTTCAACAATGATCTCCTAGCAAACATATAGCCTGAGTGCTGGACCTCGCACTCGTGCCTTGGCCTGCTTTTTGGAGATATAGGTTGCGAGCGTGCTTGAGTTCTTTATCGCCTATACCCGCTACCTCCGCTCCGTAGAACTGGGCCTGTCCGAAGACCTTGTTATAATGCTTAAGCGGGTTAGCTTCCGCTCTTCGAACGGCTCATATTCTGGCTAGTCGTCCTTCTAGTTTGGCATATCGCTAGCGAAGTTTGCTGCTAGTAATGCCTCTGCTACGTTTCCGGGCAGCTCGGAAATCAACACCTAAGTTAGCTGCATGATGGGGTGCTGATCCAAAACAGCGTAGATGAGTTTAGCTAGTCTACGTTGTATATCAACTTCAAAGGCCAACACTGTTGGCTTACTGATCGCGATGGCCCACTCCAGCTCATATTTGGTCGCCTTCAAAAAGGCTGGCGGCAGCGTGCTCGAGGGCCGTGGCGAGCGCGCCCTTGCGCGTGTGAGTAGAGCAGGGGGAGGTCACCGATTAAAATGTGCAGTGGGAAGGGTACATTGCCCGTCCCAATATCAAGCGCCTCGATTGAACGCATCTGAACTGAGAGGGTGACGAAACTACAAACTGCAGGGCCTTCTTGATGGGGAATTCAGCATGCGATGTTGGATTAATACGAACAGTAGTACGTTGGCTCTGGTAGTGATTGGGGATGATGGACGTGAGGGCTCCATTGAAGCCCGCGCGTAAAGCTCTGTGATGAAGTTTACCTCCTTTTGACATGTTCATCATATGTTGGTCAATCCCACATGGTCGAAGCATTGTGGATCTGCTCCTGTTGGGCGGCGCCGCTCTCTGCCTGCCTCGCCTGTAGATCGCCCAGCTGGGCGGGCTAACAACTCTTGCTCGGATTCGACTCCAAAGATCGATGCGCAGCAGGCATTCAACGAATTCCTCGGTACGACGGACCCTCTCCAGAAGTCTTGTGCTTTGGGATAAGGGTGGTGACAACTGCGTGAAGCTGAGGCGGTATACTGCTCACGCGCTCCACGCGCATGAGGAACCTGCATCATAATGTCTGCTGATCGAACGTCAGCAGTCTGAATTGGCGCGAGTGGATGCCGTCTCATGTCTCGACGGTGGCGTGGCTGATCTCATCAAGGGCCCTCGTGAGCAAGCTGGGGGTGATCTTCGGGGGCTTGGATGCTGATTTGGTATCTCTATGGAACTTTGGATGGCGAGCCTGCTTTGATTCCCAGATTGTATTCAGACGTCGCACCCCCGAGTAGAGCAACTCCGCGGGGCATCCCGAGAAGTCCCATCTGGCAGTTTTGGTTTGGGGCGGTTTCAAAGCTTGAGCAGCATTTTGCGGCCGCCGGTGGGCCCAGCCAACTCTAGATCTCATTATGTCCGGAACCCATTGTTTCCCATATTGCGTGGTTCCCAAAGACTTCGTGCTTTTCTCGCGATCGAAAATCGTCTTCGCATGGTAGTGCAACTCAGAAATATATCTCATTGGTCCGAAAAGCCTTCTGGGCCCCGAACCTGGAGTTCCTGCTGGGGACTCTCCTCGAAGGTGCGAGCCCTGTTGAGGACAGCGCACATGCTCTCAGTCGACTGAAACTCGGCTGGCGGCTCTCCAAGGGCCTGCAGAACATCTGGGAATTATGTTTCTTGCTTCCTGGAGATGACACCTTGCACTTCCATCGTCTGATTGGGCAGCCATCTAACAGAGCGCCAGTGCGACTTCCATGCCGCTCGGTGCTGGCTCTTTATTTCTGTAGCTGGTAACCAACCCATGTTGGGGGAACGAGTCTTTCTCCGGAATGTTTGACCAGGGTATTGGTAGTTCGGCTGATAGTGGTTTCCATTCCATTATTAAGAATGCCATCCGATTTGTCTAGAGTGGGTTGCTGCTGGTCGAGGTCCTCGAAGTCCTCCAAGATCGCCTCCAGGGTTTCCAGAGCCGCCTGAGTCCTGGTCTAGGGAAGGGCCTCGAGAGCGGGTCCACGGGGCTTCCTAGTGGGGAGATTATGATTTTTGGACAAGACAGATATCAAGATGTTGGCCCCGAGCGCGAACTCCAGACGTTCAGGACGATGTGGGGACTGGGTTACTGCTTCAGCACGCTGATCGACTGCGCCGAACTTTTGAGACACCAGCTCATGATAAAAAACGATTTTGTCCTTGGCTTTGCCATGAAACATCGTGCAACTCTCTGGATGTATCATCTCGATGCCAGCTCGGTCGCATGCTCCTGATGATGTGGCCATCGAGGGATTCATATTGAAACCAGGTTTCATGAGGACGGACATCTTGTACTTCTGCTAGCACCATCCCGCCGCGGCTGAAACATAAACGCTGGCGCTGCTCAAGCCAACCGAGTCCTCGAAGTAAGCTGAAACATAACAAGTTGGGCGGTGTCCTGGAATTTCCAACATCTCTGCTGTGTCCCGATGGCCTGGTAAGTAAGGGGACGAGGCTGCGGGTCTCCGCGGCGCTGTTCGGCGCGGCCGCCGAACGGACTTTTTATATCCTCTTGGCCCCCTCTGTGTCGGCGAACTTCTGGACGATGGCGCCAGACGCGTTGGCGACGGCATCCGTCTCTCTCTGGAGCCCCTTTGTTGGCGGGCATCTGGTCCGAGTCGTCCTCGGTCGCCACGCTCGCTGGGTCCTTCTTGCGTTCCTCCTTCTTCGGCCGATCATTGACGTGTTCCCGTTGCGCATGAACTCGCGACGGTTGCGCGTTGATCCTTCTCGAGAGCTTTAACTTGATCTTGAATCTGTGGTGATACATCTGAAACTGGACCAGCTGCCAGCTGCGACGTGAACTGCGACAGGCTCGGGAAAAGGCGCCGCTTGTGATGCCTCTGGCGGAGGCGCGCTCGCGGACATGGTGTGGATGGTGACGGGCAACTGAGCCTCCATCTGCTTGATCTCCTTGTGTGCCTAGACGATCTCTGCTGCGTTATCCTCTTGTTCCAGTGCTAGGGCTCTGATCTGTTGTATAATGGTTATCTGTCCTCTGGTTTGACAAATTGTTCTTTTGTTCGCTCGATCTGATCCCGCAGTGATTGAGCTTGCTGGTCGGGTTGTTTGCCTGGTAGGACTTGTTGCTTCGCGGCCTTGAGCTGTGAGACTGCCTGTTCGTAGTTGGGCCCTCCGACTCCTTCCTGGGTCTTTCAGGACTGCTCCAGGGTGGTGTGGGTCGTGACAGGGTCCTGTTCGAACGGGGCGGCCGGGACTTTGTAAGCCTCGGGCTCAGGACGTGTTTCCATTCCATATTGTCGCTTTGCACCTTGACGTTTTAGTTTGCCCCAGCGACGCCCTTCAGAGGGAGGCAACGATCCCCAATCATCCTTGCTCTTGCCCGTTCCTTTGTAGCGTCCACCGCACAGACAGCATAACTTGCTTCCGCTGTCGCACCAGTCCCAGCCCTTGCATTGCTTCGAACTGAGTAATGCTGACGTCGTCGTTGCTGACTGTGCGGCATGGCCCGTGTGCTGCCGAGAGTGCGGCGTGAAGGCAGCACACGATTGGCCTGGTGATGGCCGAGAAGGCTATGGTGGTGAGAGATGGCCCCTCTGGGCCTGGCAGGCTGGCAGGCTCTGGCGGGCCCCCCTGGGCGGCCCTGTGAGCCTTGAGTCAAAATGGCTTGAGCCAAACTGGCTATGGATATGAAGAGGGAGGGAGGGAGGAGGAGAGGGGAGGGAAGAGGACAGAGGAGGGTGGAGGAGGGTGGAGGAGGGAAGGGGAGGGAGGAGGGGGAGGGGGCGGAAAGCAAGCTGGGTGCGCTCGCGTCATATCTGACATCCTACCCCTCCCTCCCATCCCTTACCATGGCGTAGATCCCCTCTCTACTCGCACTGTCGGATGTCGAGCAGGGCAATGATCCCGAAAGGGTACGCGATGCATTGTAGAGCACAGCATGGCATGGCGTAGAAGAGCACCGCAAAGCGTAGTATGTCACAGCATGGCGTGGCGTGGCGTAGTGAAGAATTGCAGCACAAAGCTTTGCAACGCAAAGCATGGCATCGCACAGCGGCCCCGAACAGAACATTGCATAACATTGCGTTGAAGATCGAAGCGTAGCATGGCATATCATGACGTGGCACTTAAGCGCTGGCTATGACAGCTGCAGCTGAAGGCATGGCATCGCGCAGCGGAACGCAACCTAGCGTTACATTGCATGCCGTGGCATGGCACGGGAAATGACGCCAGCGCTGCAGCGGGAGCACGATTCGGAACGAGCGGAAGCGCGGAAATAAGGCCAGCGCTGCAGCGGGAGCACGATTCGGAACGAGCGGAAGCGCGGAAATGAGGCCAGCGCTGCAGCGGGAGCACGATTCGGAACGAGCGGAAGCCCGAAAATGAAACCCGCCCCTCAGCGAGAGCATCATATTGAAAAAAACCAGGCGAAAACCCAACTCCGGGAAATCCTCTGTGTAACAACACAGTACGCGGAGGGGTGCCCGCTATCTTCCGCACGCCATCAGGGGATGGAGGAGAGTTGTACTCATATGGTGTACTTGTGGAGGAGGGGGAGGTGGACATGCCAGGCTTCGATTGTAATCGGCAGCCGAAGCCCGCGAGGGGCGACCGCGCCCCGAGACCCGAGCAGGTGGAGCGGCTGCGCGCCGACGCCAAGCGCGACGCGGAGGAGCACGCGGAGCTGGGTCGCGAGCTGAGCGCCGTGCGGGCTGAGCGGGAGGCCGAGGAGCACTCGCCGCCGCTCGGGGGCGCCCACGGGCCGGAGGTTGATCATGCCAGGAGCGTTTGCTCAGCGTGTCGCGCCGGTGGTTCTGGCCCATCACGCTGGCCACTTCCCAGTTCCCGTGCGTCAGCGTCCTGAACCTTTCCCAGCCTCCCACCCCGCGGAGCGGAGCGAAGCGCTATCCGCTTGCAGGGCATGGTGTGTCGCCTTGGCCGCCGTCGTGACACGCTGCGCACAAGTTCCAGGTTCAGAGAATTGAGAGGAGATCCCAGCCCTCAGCCTTAGCCACCGCCCAGCACACCCTCTGTAACATCAAAGCCAGATGGAGTTGTCTCGACTGTCGTAGTTCTGTCAGCCTGGTGTCCTGAAAACAAATCATGAACGTCTGGCTTTCCAGTGAGTGCCCAGGGCCCCCTCTCAACCAGCCGCACCGCACCCAGCTCGCCCTGGGGACCAGGAGCGGCCACAAATCCCACGAACTCGCCTTCTGCGAGCCGTACTGGATCTGTGTGAATTGTAGGTGCAGGGCCTTGGAGGTAGGGGGCACCTCAGAGGCCTCTCGGAGGAATGCACCCCACCTACCAGAATGGGTCGGTGGGTACTTTCGTGCGTTTTTCAGGGGAGGCCACTCAATTGAAGTCCTCCTGAGTTCCCCAGAGACCCGACAGCGTCGGTTTGGGAAAGTCCCAGGGAAGTCCGCCTCCTCCTCTCTCCTCCTCTCTCTTCCTCCTCTCTCCTCTCTCCTCTCTCCTCCAAGTTTTAGCCAGTCGCAAGTAACGTGAGTCTAGCTCACGATTTAGTGCGGTGCACTCTCCTCGTCAGGGCATTTCATTCATTCATTCTCCTCTCTCCTCTCCTCCCTCGCTCCCTCCCTCCCTCCCTCCCTTTCTCCGCATCCCTCCTCGGGGTCCCGGCGCTTTCCGAGCCGTCGCCGCCGGCTCTCGGGGGCGTCTAAGAGCTGGAGGTCGAACGAGATCACCCTTCAGAGGCTCGAGGATGGTCGCGTGTCGCGCTTCGCGCGCCGCGGCTTGGTTGGTCTGGCGGGGCTGGGACAAGAAAACAGCCGTTCAGAGTGTTCTGGAGCGCTCTCAGAGCGTCCCGGAACGCTCTGAGAAGGCCGCGGCGCCCGAGACATCCTCCAGAGCTGCTGGATCTCAGAGATTCTCGATTTCTCCTCGCCCGATTTAAACATTTGTCCTGGCTTCGTCTTAGCTGTTGGGGGGGGCCCTTCTCCAGGGCGGCTGTGTGGGGGCGCAGCGCCCGTCGCGCACCGCGGGGCGCGATGTGCGAAGTCAAGTGACCCCGGAGGTTGATCAGCGAATTGTATTTTGTGGTTGGCTCTCGAGAGTTCGGCCACGCGCGGAGGGGCGTAGGGCTAGGGGAGAAGGCTTCTTAGAAGCACCCCTACTTCTGAGAAGGTGCGGGCCGTGTCTGTAGATCTAGGGCCCGCGCCTTCTAAGAAGCAGCCTCTGAAGCCTTCCCCCTCATCCTGCCCCCCTGTGCGCGCCGCCAAGGGTCAGCGAATTGACTTTTTGGTTGGGCTGTCGAGAAGACCGTTGCGGCCGCAGTCTGCGGGCCCGCGCCCGCCAGGTCTGGTCCCGTGTTGTTTTCGTGACCCTCCTAAGGCGAGAGCCCATGCCGCCTTCCGTCCGTGCAGGTGTCGGGGACGTGGCGAGGATGCCTCAGGCCAGACGCCCTGCCGGCACGCCCTGCAGGCAAGCATCGCTCGGCGAGGAGGAGGAGGAAGAGGAGGAAGAGGAGGATGAGGAGGGACGGAGGGAGGGTGGAACGATGCAGGGACGAGACAGGGTGGGAGGGGGATGGGCGGTGGCGCGCTTCCACGGGCTGTGCGCGAGGTCACCGACGTCCACACCGTCAGTCGACCCCGCTCGTTGAACAGGGCTTGGCTGGGCGGCAGGGAGGAAAGAAGCGAGGGAGGGATGAGGGGAGGGGTAGGGAGAGAGGGAGGGAGTGCGGGGTGAAGAGGAAATGGGAGGGAGGAAGGGAGGTTTGTAGGGAGGGAAGGAGGGATGATGATGATGATGATGATGATGATGATGATGATGCTGATGATGATGATGATGATGATGTTGATGATGACGATGATGATGATCATGATGATGATGATGATGATGATGATGATGATGATGATGATGATGATGATGATGATGATAATGTTGATGATGCTGATGATGATTGTGGTGGTGATGCTGATGATGCTGATGATGCTGATGATGCTGCTGCTGCTGATGATGATGATGCTGATGGTGCTGATGATGCTGCTGCTGATGATGGTGCTGATGCTGATGATGCTTCTGCTTCTGGTACGACAGTAGGACCAGGGAAGATGAATGACAGAAGGAGAAGATGGAGACTGCACCCTTCTGCCCCCCTCCCGTTCCCCGCCCTGCCCCGTTTCCTGCTCGTTGTTGCTCGCATCCACAGGGGCGCTCCTATGGCAGTCAGCTCGTCCTGCTCCAAGCTTTTTGCCACGGTCGTGCAGACACGGGGGCAACACATCGAGTGATCACCCTCTGGCTTCATGCTACGACGGACAAAGCGGAAACAATCATCAGCAGGCATGGTTTGGAAACGAATTGGATCACGCATGATGTGTTGGACACTATCCTGCGCACTGTGAGGAATCACATGCGGCACATCGTGCTAGTGCATCGTGCTAGCTCAAACATCAAGTCTGGCATGCTGTATTGGAGTATAGCGTGATACTCCAACACAGGGCGGATGTCAAACCCTCGACTGCTGCTGCTGCTGCACCCACCCGTGGAAACGTTGCAGCAGCAAGAGAAGAAATCAGTCCGCCTTACGTGATGCCCAGGGCGACTCGCCGTCGAGGCGTGACAGCCTACGAAAGACACGTGAGGATATCGCCGCTCAAGCGGACAGGAATCCATAGGCGTCAAACCATCTTCGGGAGTCATCGGCGGTATCGTTGGTAGTATCTCCTGAGCTGTTTGGGCATCGTCATGGCTCCGATTACTTCTCAAAGTGCGCGATGAGCTGATTGATATTCGTCGTCATGTCCCTCCCCGTCGTCGTCGTCCAGAGAATGTTGGCCTTGAGCACTGCGGTGAGCTTCGCCCGAGGAAGCCCTGGCACGTAAGCCAGCCGCTGCACCCACTCCGTGCAAGTGTTGGGTAAGTCGTCCGTGCTGAGCTCGGGCACGAGTTTCTGTGCCAAGCCTTTGATGACCTCCGTGACAGCATCCCCAGCTGCAGGGGTGGCGGCCGCCTCGCCAGGCATCTCGAGCTTGTCCAAGGGGTTCTTGCCTCCGCTGGCCGCGTCGCTGTACCCGCCGTGGGGTGGGTCTTCATTGTCTGCAGAAGCGCCATGGCTTGTACTCGGTGGAGATCCCTTGCTCGGCTCCGGGATGGGAGCCTGCGGCCCCTTGGATTTACTCAGCTCCTTCAGGAGTGCTGTCATCTGTGACGTAGGAGAAGATCCAGCACTGTTCTGAGGGTCATCGTCGTCGTCATCATCACTTATTCAACTTGTTGTGACGTATGTTGAGCATCTTCTTCTGGTTACGTTTGGTTTTGCTGGCAGCGGTCTTCTTGTTGCCCAGCGCGGCGATCCGCTTGAAGCTGTTCTTGTTGTCGCCGTTGCTGCTTTTACCACTGCTGCTCGTGTGGATCGTGCTGCTCTCGTCGCTGGGCTGGTTCTGCAATACGCGTCCACCAGCGAAGCAGATGAACTTGGAAGGCTAGGACTTTTCTTCTTTTTTTTGTCATTCACTGCCTTCTTGTTCGATGTTTGTGTCCGAAGAGGTGAGGCTGAACATCTCGCCGATGCAGCCTGCGACAATGTTCTGCACGCTCTTCCGGAAGGACGTCGCCTCGTGTTTCTTAGCACGCACGTCCTCGTCCCTCTCCCGTCTGGCAAATCTGGGGCCAGCAGGGCCTCCACGAACCCCGCCTACTGGATCAAGAAGCTCAGTTTCGAGAACGCGCTGAACGGCGTCACGGACGAGCGGGAACTGCACCAAGCTTCGGAGTGCGCTTCTAGGTACGAAGTACAGTTCAAGGGGGATACGACGAGCGACGCGCTGAGGAAGCACATGAAGCGCGTGACGATCTTCGGTCAGATCAGCCCGACGGAGGTTCCACAGACGAGCTGGCCAGCAATTCGGGATGCATTTTCGGACCTCGTCTTGATCGACCTCAGTCCTCCTGGGAAGGTTTTTCTGGCTCCCGTAGAGAAGAATGCCACCGAACTTTCTGCAGCGGCGACTTCGAGCATGTGCGTCCGTGCATCTGACATGAAGGTTCTCGTGTTTTGCACTGTCCCTTGGCCAATCAAGGGCGATCAGCATGCGCCCAGTGAGGATGGTGCCTTGGCTATTTCGACGCCCTGCATCCGAAGGCACACCCGCCTTCGCCAATCCATCCTGGAAAATATCAGGCTGTGTTTCTGGAGGCTTTTATCATGAATAAGTTCTGTGTGTCAGATCATCACGACTACGACAGAGGCAAACGTCAACAGCACCATGGCGGCCTTCACTAAATTGATGGAGTTCTTGGACTTGCCAGATGATGCGGAGATCCCCACCGAGGTCATGGCGGTCTGTGATTCCATCTACGTTTCGGTTCGAGGATTCGGCGCCCTCGTGAACATCCAGGTTGGCATCGATACGGAGTTCGACTTCGTGAAGGACGCGATGGCGTTACGCAAGGCTGCTGAGAAGACAGTCGCGCAGTCGGTGCTGCACGATGTTGGGACTACTCTGAACAGGAACCCGTTCCTGAGCGACAAGATGGACATGAAGGCAACGTGCTACGATGAGTACATGGCTCGTTGGCCTCAGCTGCAAGGGCACACGATGGGCGCTCTCCGACTTCACCGAGCAGTCCAACTTCGGCGCGATCATCAATTGTGTAACGGATGTGCCCGGCTGGAACAACCTGTACTCGGGGGTGCTTCCCTCGTGCGTGTGCGCTGGCCTGGACGAGATGACCCGCCATGAGACGAAGCTGCTCTACGACATGCTTACCAATGCCGCTAAGGGCAACGATGAAGAAGGCGAGTCCCCTGACGTCCGTACGTCGGCGCAGACGCTCTACCATTAGGTTGGGAGACGTACCCTGCTATGCCAGAGTACGACGCGTACATCGAGGGCTGTGTGCAAATGCTGAATTCCAAGGTCATTTCAAATCTCACGGCGGCAGTTGCGCAGAAGATCTACGATATCAGCGAGGACGTCATTGAGTCGTTGCCGATGTTGGATGAGTTGTCTGCCATCCTGCGCCAGAAGGCAGGGTTGCTTGATGGGGGCGCGTTGTCTGCCACGGATCCCATGATTGCGATTGCGACCAAGGTATTCCAGGAGCTTGCGCAGCGCTCGTTGGTGGAGGTCTACGGCGCGATTGGTTTCTGCGAGCGGGTCGCTGAGGTCGTGCGCGCGATCCCGAGAATCAAGGGGTGTGGCGGCAGAGCTCAGGTGCTGGTGACGCTGTCATCATCTGTCTCGTTCGCCGTCGGCGCGATGAAGCAGGCGAGGCCCGACCCCGACAACCAGTCGCAGCTTGTGGCCACCGAGGTCCTGGAGTTGAGCACCGCGCTCCGCCTGTCTCGCAGCGTCGGGGGCCTGCAGGGGTCGCTGAAGGCGTTGGCAGCGAAAGACAAGGATGCGGCCGAGTGGTGTGATAAGTACGCGGGGCTTGCAGGCCGCGTGTTGGTTGACGCGGGGAGCTCGTACTTCTCTGCGATCAAAGATGGTGCGGCAGCGTTGATATCCGACCTCGGGCCCAAAGCTGCAGCCAAGGTGGGCGATTCAGACCTCTCGTGGCTTCAGAATTTGCCGCCCGAGGCTGACGGATGGAACGCTTTCGTAACCTCGTGCCAGAAGTCCTCGGTGAAGTGCGACGTCGCAGAGGTCCAGACGTTGCTTCAGAAGGCCGAGGTCGAGCTGGAGAAGCACGCCGAGGGCGCCGTCGTCTTCGGCAATGACTCCGGGGACCCGGCGTGGAACGACATGAAGAGTTCGATCGAGGCGGCTCGCGTCACCTTGTCCGCCCAGACGCTCATCGAGGCCTACGCGACGTCAGGGGCGGAGAAGCCAGCCGTGCGTTCCATCGCGAAGGCTGAGATCAGTGCCCGCGCCAAGTGGGGCACCCAGAAGAGTAGCTTGCCGGAGATGTTGGCGAAGTGGGCGCAGGCCGCCATGTAGTTGCAGACCATCGGCTGACCAGGGATGACGGCCACGATGGGGTGGCATGCATTTTTTCGGCGCAGCACGCCGCCCCGTGCACTGCGCCCGCGTCGGCGCGAGAGTGGAGAGCTGCAGCGGCTCTCCAGGGAGGTGCGTGAATAACGTCGGTGTCATTGCCATTTGTCGTGGTCAGTTGTTTTGAGATCGAGAGGCGCCCGCCCGCCCGCCACCCGCGTTCAACCCGTCATGTGCTTTGTGTATCTCTGGCGTGTTTGTTGATGTGCGTTGTATGTATCCAGTTTCGAGCATCCAAGACGCGCTTCGCGTGTAACCGACGCCCGCAGGCACATCCCCCACCGCCCCCAATGGAAGAGAATTTCCGCGCACCTCTCGTCCGCCTATCCAGTGACGATGCCAATTTGGGTTGTCTTGGTCGCGGGCGCGGGGTGGCCCGCAGATGAATGCAGGGCTGGCGAAGCCGCCGTGCCAGACAGGGGGGGTTGATCATGCACCAGAAGGTGGCGGTATGAGTGAGTGCGACAACGTTGCGGGGAAGAGCTGGCCCCACCCCCAGGGTCCTCCCTTGGACCGTCGTGGGTGTCCCAGCTGGGCCTCTTGGCGCCTCCTGTGGTCATCGTTTTGGGCCTCTCGGGGGAGGGGGCGTGGGGTTCGCTGTTAGGTAGCCTTCGGGCGTCTTGGGGCCTTCCGCGGAGAGCTCTATCAACGAACTGGCATGTGCGCGCGTGCTGACTAGCATTGCCAATCTGGGGTCGCCAAGCTCGACCCATGGTCGCTTCTTGGGGCGATCCTGGGACGCCCTCAGGCGATCTTTGCGCCGCCTTGATGTCCTCTTGGCTTATCTTGGTGCTATATCGGGCTCTTGTGGGGCCGTCTTGAAGCCTCGGGTTCCCATGGCAAACAAACGTGCTATAATGTGCGCCGCAGTGAGTTGCCCCTGGAGCTCAACAAGAACTTCGGCCTCTCGGGGATTCAATGCGAGGAGCATCGCGGTCATCGTGCTTGTTTTTTCTCGGGGGGGCACTGGGCTTGGCCAGCGGCCGCGCTAGCTTGGGCATGCTCGCGTGCGCTCGTGATCTTTGAACTCACGTTGGGTTGTCTGAGGCCTTATCAGAACCACATTGTCCCAGCGCGCCCCTCCCCGGTGGGCTCCGAGCGCCCTCGCCGAGGCCCGTGGGGGCAGGGCGAAAGATGGTGGGGGAGCGCGGGCGGGGGCGGCGCCCCCCTCCCCAGAGGGGGGCATAGGCATGTGAACAACGCTCGCTCTCCACCTGCGCCCTGAGGGCAAGCGGGGGCCTCGACGCAACAGGTTCGATCAATGTTTTGCACATCCGGCCTTCCATGACACCTCGCATTACTGTACTATGACACTATGACACCTCGCATTACTGTACTTTTATCACAACGATGTGGCAAGGCAGTCGCGCCCGCGCAAGCGGCTTCGAGGGCCCGCGGGCGAGCGCGCGAATCTGACGTCGAAGGGTGGGCAGGCTGCGGGCGCGGCGCACATCGCACGAGCGAGAGAATGCCTCACTCCACGGGCGGGTGGGCGCCCAGGCTGGGTGGCAAGGAAACGCCTGAACTCTTGACAAAGTGGGAGCAAGACGGGAAGGCGGGCTGGCGGGTTGAGGCGCTCGGTCGGAACAGGAAACGAGGGGTGGGGGGGGGGGGCGATATCCGCGCGACAACGCGCCCGGGTTGTGAGTCGGCTTACACTTGCGCGCAATGCGTGGCGGGTGTGCCGAGCCTTCCGACCGCGAACTTCAGAGCGATGCCCAGGAACGGCGTGCTACAAGATTTGTCGAAACAAAAACGGAAGAATCTATAGTATTTCAAAATCTTTGCGGAGATATCATTTGGAGTTCTTTTATTTTTTTCTGGGGATCTCCTCCTGGTGGGAGCTCGCCGACCATGAGCGTGCTCCAAGTGACTCCAACCATGATCCCACTGCGGCCACTTTTGACGGACTGCGGCTTCTTCTCGGGTCCAACACGGCGTCCCCAGTAAGTTCGCCACAGCGCGCAGGGAACTGCACGTTCGTGTCGATGCCGACGACCACCTCGAAGTCTAATCATAGGTTGAACAAACTCGTTGGACGAATTGGGCCGTGTCTTTAATTAGTCCGACGGAAGGACCCCACATGAGAGAATCCATTGGGCAAATCCGGAAAGAGCCCTCACCGTCGTCCTCGTGGTTGGTGAGGCGTCCTGGCTGTCTCTTCTGCGTATATTTCTTCTCGCCCTGGCGCGGGCCATCCCCCCGCTCCCTACGTTGCCCCCAACCTCGCCCTCCTGTTTTGGCTCCGGACATTCAGAAAGTTGCCCGGGAGTTGTGTTTTGGGAACACGAAGAACACGAAGTGGCCTACAGTTGGCTCCGGGCATTCAAAATGTGGCCCGGGAGTGGTGTTCTGGGAGCGCGGAGAACACGACATGGCTTACAGATGGCTCCGGGAATTCAAAATGTGGCCTGGGAGTGGCGTTCTGGCAGCGCGAGAGCCCAAAAATGGTGACGGTTATAGGAATTGGATGACCCGCTCGGATTAGTAACGCGATCCGCGGGCCCCATAGGGAGGGGGCTCCCGCTTGAGACTTCCTCGCAATTCACTCACAAATGTGGCCTGGGAATGGCGTTCTGGCAGCGCGTGAACCCAAAAGTGGCGACAGTTATAGGAATTGGATGACCCGCTCGGATTAGTAACATGATCCGCGGGCCCCATAGGGAGGGGGCTCCTGGTTGAGACTTCCTCGCAATTCACTCACAGATATGGCCTGGGAGTGGCGTTCTGGCAGCGCGAGAGCCCAAAAGTGGCGACAGTTACAGGAATTGGATGACCCGCTCGGATTAGTAACGCGATCCGCGGGCCCCATCGGGAGGGGGCTCCCGCTTGAGACTTCCTCGCAGTTCATTCACAGACGAGGCCCAAGGCGAGTGAGTGAGTGAGTGAGTGAGTGACTGACTGACTGGTGATGATGATGATCATCACACTCTCTCACTCGCACACTCATCATCATCATATGTGAGTGCTGATGAGTCAGTCAAGTCAGTGCGTGAGTGAGTGAGTGAGTGAGTGTGTGAGGGATGATGAGTGAGTGAGTGAGGAATGAGTGTTGTTGATGATGATGATGATGATGATGATGATGATGATGATGATGATGATGATGGTGGGTTCCTGTTCCTGCGCGGGGTGTCCAGAGAAAACAATAACCCCACTTTGGATGTGGGGAAAAACCGTTTCGCCCGCCCACCTTCTTCATGGTGGTCTAACACATGCGCCGATATGAAAATCTAATTGCCCGCTGCCGCGCCGAACCAGTATGCCCCAAAAGCGACTTCCCTGAGCGCCCGCATCCGAAGTCTAGGAATAATAATGCTCGGATGCCAAGATGGCATGCGCGGAATAAGTGAAACCATTCAAATGTGACCAAGCCGGAGCTTCCTGTAGAAGCACAACAAAGGTCGCCCCAGTAAACCCCCGTAGGACTCAACAAGTCCGTTTTGCAGCCGAAGCCAGTTTTCTACATGTGTTCCAAGTCAAGGCCGTGAAACTTGTGGATGTGAGATTTGGGGCTCATGCAGACCTAAAGGTCCGCAGCTCCGCGTTGAGTACATCGGGCGCGACGCCGAAATTCTGCCTCTTTGGCATGTCCTCCCACACCATCTTTCGGTCCCCGTTGATCTGCCCCATGAGTACCTCTCCCGACCCAGTTTTCACGTTGAGTTGGCAGTCTGGCAGACCAGAGTGCCGTACCGTAGCGGTCGCACCATTCTTCTTGGCCTTCGCTTCCAAGAACGCCTTGGCCTTGCCACCGGCCTCGAACCGACGCTGGTCCTCGGGCGTCTTCTCCACCATAGTGTAGAGTTCCTTTCCATTGTGTTGGAACGCAGTATTCCCCCTCAAGGTTTCCTTGAAGAGAACCGCGACCTCCGTGGCATAGGGCATAGCGATGCGGACGGAAAATGTGTGCACCCGATTCTCGATTTTCCACGGAGCCCACTTTGTTCTTCAAGTCTTCGGGTAGATGAAACATCAGTCTAGACACCAGCTCCACGGCCTGCGGCCGCGTGATGCCTTCAGACCTCCAGTCCTTGAGTTCGCAGAGCCCGCGGATGTCGAAAAGCGATGCAACGAACCGATTTGAGGACGACCCCGCCTGCTCGAGCTTGGCGATCCGCTCGCCGTGGTCGTCAACCTTCTTCGCCATGTCGTTGAACTTGGTTCTGATCGGTGCCAAGTTCGTCTCGATTTTCTCATCCACTATGGTAGACATCACCTCAACTGTAAGTGTCGTCATTGCAAAAAACTCTAAGCTATATGTGATGTAGTCGATTGTGTGATCCTGGCCTTGATCCTTCTCCCCCACTCCACCCTCCCTTCCCTTCCCCCTTCCCTCCCCTCCTTCCTCCATACCTCCCTCCTCCCCCATCCCTCCCTCCTCCTTCTCCTCCTCTTCCTCCTCGTTCCTACTCCTCCTCCTCCTCTTCCTCGTCCTCCTCCGCTTCCTCATTCTCCTCCCTGCCCCTTCCAGGAGTGCAGGGCGCGCGAGGCGGAGGCGGAGAGGGACGGGCTGCGGCAGGTCTTCGAAGAGAAGAAGCGCGGGCCCCAGCAGGACCCAGGCGTCGTCCTCGGAGAGTTGGGGGAGGATGAGGATGAGGATGAAGATGAGGATGAGGATGATGGGGAGGAGGAGGAGGTGGAGGAGGAGGGGGAGGAGGAGGAGGAGGAGGAGGAGGAGGAGGAGGAGGAGGAGGAGGAGGAGGAGGAGGAGGAGGAGGAGGAGGGAGGAGGAGGAGGAGGAGGAGGTGGAGGAGGAGGCGGTGGAGGGGGGCAGGAGGGAGAGGACGAGGAGGGAAGAGAAGGATGTGGAGGAGAAGAGGGACGATGACGAGGATGATGGGAGGAGGAGGAGGATGAGGAGGTGGAGGAGGAGGAGGAGGAGGAGGAGGAGGAGGGAGGACAGGAGGAGGAGGAACAGGAGGAGGAGGAGGAGGAGGAGGAGGGAGGAGGAGGAGGAGGAGGAGGAGGAGGAGGAGGTAGGACGAGCAGGGAGGAAGGAGAGGCCAGAGGCGCTGGAAATTGCGGACGAACTGCGTTGGTGGAACCACAGCAGCCAGGTCCACGGGCTCCAGCGCATCTCCGGCCAGCAGGGGGCGTCCCACCCCTAACGGCCGCTGGGGGCCTGCCGGATGCAGTGCGCGCCTGGGCGCACCTTGCGCTCCAGGTTGCTTTCAAGGCTGACTGAACTGGCGGCCGCCAGCCGTGCCGGCTCTGCCAGGACTCTCTGGAAATCGCGACGCACTTTCCCGCTCAGTGCGAGGAGGCCGCTGGCCCACTAGCAGCTTGGAGCGCCACAGCAGCAGCGCCCCACCTGGCGCAGCCCGACCAGCGGGCGCACTGCCTCCTCGGGGACAGCCCCCCTGAGGCAGCGGTGGAGGCAGCGCTCGCCATCCGCCGCCTGGAGCAGCGCTGCCAGCACTGCGCGGCGTGAGGCGTCGGGTAGCATCTCTGGCGCTGCGCGAAGTGGGGGAAAGGGAGCCTAGAGAGGGTCCTTGCCCCCGCGTGAAAGGGGGAATCCCCTCCCTGCCGCCGTCGCTGCCGCCTTCGATGTCGCCGGCCGTGCGCTGCCCCAGTGTACGTCTCCGTCGTCGGTGCCGTCGCCGCTGTCGATTCTTACGCTGAAAATTTGAAACAGTTTCTGAGCTTGAGGGTGGGTCGTTTTAAACATATGTTTTCCGCTTGGCGCCGCGGACAGTCGTATCAGCAGTTTGCAATAGTTCCACGGATGGAAGGCGGGTCGTTTTCAAAATGCGGCTTTAGTTTTTGCGCCGCGCTCATTCGTCTGCAACGTTCGCAAGGTATTCACGGATGGAGGGTGGCGCGTTTCCAGGCGCCGCGCGCATACGTTGTAAGAGCTCATACAAACCGTATCACGCGTTCTCTTTGTTGACGTCCCAGAACTGATGTTTTAGAACGATGTCGGATTGTCAGGGAGCAGCATTTATGTTGGCTCGCGTTGTGGGATGTCCAGGAACGGCGTTCTGGCGCGATTCAGGGTCGTCAGGGCGCAAGTCGCGCTCCTTCTCGGTTGTGAAGTTCCAGGAATGTTGTTCTGGCGCGGTTAGGACTTCCAAACGGTTGTCTCTCAACGGGGCCCTTCCTTTAGCCCCTAGAAAGTATGAGCCCGTGTAGGGACCTATGAAAAAGGAGCTGGGAGAGAGAATTTACAGTAACATCGTTTGTGAGTTGAGGGTATACACAGGGACCCCTCCCTCTTCCTCCTCCTCCATCTTTCTCCCTCATAAAAAAGCTTCGCGTCGCGCCCCGAGGCTGGTCGAAATGGTGTTGGGGGGGGGGGGGCGGCGGGCGTTTCGCTTGAGATCTTCACGATTTATGATCCAGAAACCGAAACTTTGCAGCAACTTCACGGATGGAGGGCGGTCCGCTTTCAAAATGTGCTCTCGCCT